ACACACACTCTCACTCCACACGTCTATTGTCGTTCAATATATACATATATACATATATATACACACACACTCTCACTCCACACGTCTATTGTCGTTCATGCCTCCTCACTACTGCTGGCGAGGATCACTTCTGCATGTGCAAAATCTGCTGCATCTCAGCAGATATTGGCACATCGCCTCCACCAGAGCTTGCACTTTCAAACTCTGGGGCCAGCCGCTTGCGCACAAGGCTGCGAACCTGGGGAACATCACCGGGAGGGCGGGGCACATCTGCTTCCGTCGCATAATCTTCCGGCGGCGGAGGCGGTGACATACTTGGAACAACCTCAATCAGAAATCTTCCCCAGGATAGCGTATGCGACATGACCTGTGAGCAAACTCTGCAAAAGCACCATTTAAGACAAGCACCTGTGTCTCCATGGTATCCATGCTTACATCAGCGGGTGGAGGCGGCACAACGCCTGCATTCACAAGCTCCTTGGCTGCGACCCACTCCTGAAACAGGCTGACCTCCGTGGTCAAGTCGGCGCCTTCCTGTCCCCACTGATGGGAAGCAACACCGACCTCAGAGCAGAAAGACTGGAACAGCGGGTGGCCCAGCATCTGCTGCGATGCCGTGCTGCTCGCTGCTTCCATCTTCTCAGTCTCATGCACCCACTTCATGAATGATGCTTTGTCCGCAACGACTTTGTCGATATATGTAAAGACCTTGTGCATCTACGCGAAACAAACAGTTTCGTAACACTTCGGGATAACATGCCAGACAAAATCACGCAATCGAGACACTTCCACACCCTGGTCCTTCATCATGGCCCTGTACTGCTCGAACTTCTCGTGGCTTCGGCAAGCCTTATATATCACAGGGAGGTATGCAGCGCTTATGCCAGCTCGTGCGGCCCAAGCAGCGTGAAACGTGTTCCACCACTGCTGGCTGAAATCATACGGCGGAGCCTGCAATCACACACCCCACGCATGCTACACATGCTGTGACTGCTGTGTCTTACATCTGCAGCGAACACATCCTCCATTGAAGCATTTGGCGCAGAAACAAAAGAACCTGGCCTTAGGGCTGGGTTCCAGACGTGGCGCCAGATCGGAAGGAGCCGCCGTTGCAATGTCAAGCAGCTCTACGTCTGACTCGGATTCGATTTCCCATATTTCTGTGCCCAATAGCACCTTAAGCTGGTCTTTCTTCTCCACCTTCACCTGGACTTGCTCCTGTTTCACGGATTCTCGTTCATTCTTCTTCTTCTTCTTCCTGCTCAAGGTCGGCCGGAGCCTTCGTGGGTTGACCCGCAAGACAGCCTGCAGCTTCAAAGCAGCCTCGTTGCCACAGTTGCGGACACGTCAAAGCCATGCTGGCATGCACACTGAAAGCACATGCTAGAATCATGAGCTTATAACAATGATGAGCTGCGTCTGTTCTGCTGGATCTGGCCAGGCTCTTGCGCCAGTACCGCCGCGCATACGACAATAGCCCAAACAAAGCATCTGTTTCCTTGCTATGTGCACAGAAACCGTACGCATCCCTTGCTCAACACAACAACACAGCATGCACGCATGCATGTTATAAATGCGGCTGAATAACAGCCTTCGCCCATTGCCGCTTTTCTTTCAGGGAGCTAGCCTGACTTAGGTGGAACCCACAGTCTTCATCGATTCTGAGGAACACCATTTGTAGATCTGTCATACAGAACTCGCCTTAGCCCAGCTGGTGCGTTTGGCGCGAATGTTATTACCATCGCAAAGGTGGCAAATCGCTCGGAATCAGGTCAAGCATCCCTCCGGCGACAATTGAAAAAGCCCAAGCACCAAGTCCATATACTTCTCCATGTCCCCAAACGAGATGCTACATGGATTCTCCAGCTCGTGCAACAACGTGTTGCAAGGTTTTTCTGTGCGAGCAGCGTAGGAATGCACTGCCAGGTAGAAAAGTCTTCAGGGTGCCTTTGATGATGCTCATGAAGCTCGCAACACTAAAATCGCAACACGAAACTTTTTAGATCATACAAGGTGCTTGCGATTTTGTCAGCGTCCACTCTTGGCATGGCTGCATTCGGCTATGTTTCGATTTCCCTTTGCTGTGTTGGGAACCTTCTTGCATCTCTCTGTCTCTCTTTCTCTCTCTCTCTCTCCCTATCTCTCTCTTTGTTCCATGTCTATAAGCCACGCAAGCTCCGTTGGAAACATACCGCAAGCATCAAAAGCAACACACACATGAAGCGGGCATCGTGAGCAGTCCTTGGCTGAAGCCACGGGTCATCTCCCATGGTCGCAGGAAGCCACTCTGGCTTCGGCATGATGCTGAGACTACAACCAGAAATGTTAGGAAGATGATTGAACTCTTATGATTGCACTATGCTGATGCACTATGATGCACGCTACTTCGGGCCTGGGGCCTTCGGGCCTTCCATGGCTGTTGCAAGCGACCCTTCGCCGAGAAAGCCCAAGGCCCAGACCCTTCGCCCAGAAAGACCGACCCTTAGCCCACAAAGCCCAACGAGCATCAGGGTAATCACCATGTAATCCTCTATTAATATTGGTTGCATAGCATCCATACTCCAGTCGTCTTAACGTCCGTTCAGTCTCCATACATCTTCCCCGAGCGATCATGCCCCGACCATGACGATGCCCACCGAGACCTCATGCATAGCATACATGGAAACTGCTTCGCTTACCAATGTTGTTCATGTCTCGTCATGCACTTGGGACTGTACGATGTGCATGGGAATCGCGGATCCACAAGCATAATCGCACACACTCGATTCCGTAAACACCCACTCTATCCGCGCATCAGTGACAGCAAAACACACCAAACCCAGTCATTCCCCATCTGTACGCTCGATTCCACAAGCATCTATTCTGCCTGCACGTCAGTGCTCTCATAAATTACGTAATACTCAAATTCTCCGGCGTGTGCGTGCAACTGTTCAACCGCATGACTGCCGAGCCCACCTGCCTGTGCAACTCGGACGACTTCCACCTGGCGTACCCACACATAAGCGACATCCACTGCAGACGGAAGGCATTCTGACCGCGACGCAGCTCATGCGGGTCCCTTCTGTTCTAGATGCCCTAGCATCTAAGGCTTGCCAGCGGTGCCCAGGCACAGTGCCCACCTCAGGCCCATGCGGCTTCCTCGCACTCAAAAGCCCCTGCGCAGCTGTTCGCAGGCTTGGCAAAGCCGTGCGTCCGTGTCCGGGAAACCCGGTATAACTGCCCTTCAACATCACGCTTGCCCCTGTGGTTCGGAGCGCCGGGAGGGATAAAGGGTCGCTGTTCACGACCTCCTTGTCCCTTCGGCTTGCCGTCTTGAAACTTTGGCGTGGCAGGGGCTTTGCTCTCCAAAGTTGCAGGTGGGGAAGGTGGGAGGGCGCTAGACTTGGGTGGAGGAGGCACAACCGCCTTCGGCGGCTCCTTCCGCACTGGCGGCGGTACGCCTGCTGGGCCCTTGGCCTTGCCGATAGGATCGAAAGATGTCCAAGG